CAGAACCATAGGATGAGTACATTGGGGAATCACAGAACCATAGGATGGCCGGAGTTGGAAGGGACCTCAGGGATCATCAGGTTCCAGCCCTGCTGCCACAGGCAGAACTGCCAACCACTAGATCAAATAGTAGCACAGGGTGCCCAGGGCCCCACCCAACCCCGTCCAGCCCCATCCAGCCCCACCCAACCCCATCCATCCCTATCAAACACATCCAACCCCATCCAATCCCATCAACCCCATCCAATCCCATCAACCCCATCCAACCCCATCCGACCCCATCCGACCCCATCCGACCCCATCCAACCGCCTCAACCTCATCCAATCCCATCTAGCCCCATCAACCCCATCCAACCCCATTCAACCCCATCCAACCCTATCAACCCCATCCAGCCCCATCCAGCCCCATTCAGCCCATCAACCCCATCAACCCCATCCAACCCCATCCAACCCCATCCAACCCCATCAACCCCATCCGATCCCACCCAGCCCCATCCGACCCGGCCTTGAACACCCTGGGGGCACCCACAGGCTCTGGGCAATCTGTTCCAGCAGCTCAACACCTTCTCAGAGAAAAGCTTCCCCAACACCTACCCTAAATCTTCCCTCCCTCAGCTGAAAACTGTTCTCCCTTACCCTACCACTACCCACCCACGTACAAAGCTGGTTTTCCTCCTGTTTACGACCTCCCTCTGCACACGGAGAGGCCGTAGTGAGCTCACCCCTTCTCTTCTCCAGGCTGCACAAGCCCGTTTCCTTCAGCCTGTCCTGCCAGTAGAGCTGCTCCAGCCCCCTGACCACCTTCATGCCCCTCCTCTGGGCCCTCTCCAAAACCCCCACAACTTTCCTGCCCTGGGACCGCAGACCTGGCTGCACTCCTCCCCCCGGGGCCTCGGGAGGGCAGAGCAGAGAGGCACCACCGCCTCCCTTGCTGCTGGCCACGCTTCTGATGCAGCCCGGGGTACCATCGACCTGCCGGGATGCAGGCACGCAATGCTGGCGCGCTTCTTCATCTGCCAGGACCTCCCAGTCCTTGTCAGCAGGACTGCTCCCAAGGGGTTCTTCGTCCAGTCTGTATCCAGATCTGGGATTACCAGAAGGTTTATTCATAGTTAATGCTCGCCTTAAAGCAGGCAAAGGTGGTAATCACTGGAGGATTTAAATATTTGGGGGCAAAACAAATCAAGGCATCACAGTGATGAACAAAAACGATGCAGGGGCGTCGGGGCCAGAGATTGCTCATAGCTAAGCTAAAATTTGTCTTATTTTAATCTTCCTGTTTTTTTCTCTGAAAAAACAGTGCTGCTGGTTATTATTTCAATGCCACTGAAGCTCATTTCCAAATGCAGAATAATAATAATAATAAAAGTTACTGTGCATAATATTGCAGTCAGTGCAAATGCACACACAGGTCCACAAATGCCGCCACTGAATCCTTAGAAATTGTGTTTTAACATCACCTGACGTTAACAGCGCGAGGCCGTAAGTGGAACGCAGGCAAGTTTAAGGGCACCACGTTGCTGTGTGCTCACAAGAGCCACGAAGAAATAAAAACAAGGGGCACGATTCTCATTCAGACTCCTGCTGGTAAGGGTGGGAAAAGCTGAGCTAAGGCATTTGGTGTTTCACTGAGTGCCCGTAGGGAAGATACTGCTTGAGACTCGAGACAAACCTGATTTTAAGCAGATTTTGAAAGAAATCACAGAATCACAGAATGGCCAGGGTTGGAAGGGACCTCAAGAATGATGAAGCTCCAACCCCCACCAATGCAGGGCCACCAATCTCTGCATTTCACAGCAGCCCAGGCTGCCCAGGGCCCCATCCAGCCTGGCCTCCAACACCTCCAGGGATGGACGGGGCACCCACAGCCTCTCTGTGCAGCTGTTCCAGCACCAGCAAAAGTTGATTCAGTTCAGAACAGTTGATCGTGGCAGAAAAGCAGCTCACATCATGGCACCTCACTGACCTGAAGGCAGCTGCAAAGCTCTCTGGCCTCCTGCCCTGCAGCGTGATGCCAGTGCCTCCATCACGCACATCACAGAGCCTGCCTCATCGCCAGAAAGGAGCGCGGCAGCCCTCCACTGCTCGTGTGAGTGCCTTCACAGGGGTGCTGAGCACAAGGGTGGGAGGAGCTCCTGTTTTCAATAGCATTCGATGCAGAAATGGTTGCCGTGGTTGTGGGAGGAAGGAAAAAAGGCTTCAGGACCACGCTGTGAAGTGGTGAGCACTGAATGCCTCCCCATCGCTGTGCTCAAGTCACCTCTGCAGCCGCCCCTAGCCATGCTGGCAGTGTCTCCACCCCTCATCTTAAGGAAATGCTCCCGGGGTTCAGTGCTCCACAGCATCACAGGAACCCGTGAGCTGTGCTGGAGGCTGCGCTGCTCAGCACATCCAGACAAAACCCATAAAGGGGGACAGCCGTGCAGGCGGGATGCCTGGAAGTGCTACCTTCAGCTGAACGTAACCGCAAACGCAAAGAAGGCAGAGAAAGCAGAGGGGCCTCATGGTGCTGACCTGACCATAAAAGTGGCAAAGAGAATTAAATGCTGATGGAGCGACTTAATTCTGTATGATATCAATTAATAAACCAAGAAGGCAAAAAATGGATATTAAAAGGAAAAACGTCAGCTAATCTGAAGCTTTTCTTATGAGAGAATCCGGGGTTAGAGGGAACTCAAAACCTGGTGTGGCAGATGCCAAAGTCTCATCCTCACATCTAAAAAGGCTGTTACAAACGCTGAGTGCAAATCTTTAGCCCGGAGAAGAGGTCTACGCAATATGAGCAGGACAGACGGCTGTTTTCTCCTCAACACAAGAAATGAAAGGCTTTCAAACGAAACGAGCAGGCAGTGGTTTCACACTGGACATCAGGAAGGCTTTCTCAACTGCGCAGAATGCCTTCCCAAAGGATGCTTTAGCTACTGATGTATTGCAGGCGTTCAGGAAGCAAATGGGCATCTCCACAGACGGAGAGAAAATCCTCTGAAGACCATTAAAGGTATCGCCAAGGACCACAAGAATCTCTGGGGAAGTACTGCCACTCTTCCCTCTGCATCCCTGCTTGCCATGCTTGGTGAGGAAATACCAAGCTGATCCCACAGAAGCACAGAATCACAGAACGGCCCGGGCTGAAAAGGAGCACGGTGCTCATCTGCAGCCTCTGACCCTCAATCCGATGGGTGGCACCGCTTCTCATCTGACTGTGGCTCTTCTGTCACTTCCAGCATCACTGCATCCTAGGATGAAGAACCGTTTCCACTTCAACACAGCAGCCAGCTGTACTGAAGCGCACGCATGGATCCACCTGAACCTCTGAGTCTCATCCCACAGCAACTGATGTCTCACCGGGATTTACAGACCCCGACTGCTGACAACGGCCAGCTATCTCTGAGTCAAGAACTAATGAGTGAATAAAACTGCTTCAGACAGGTCTTTTCCAAACTAAATTCCCACTGATGACTTAACTGCAGAACGAAAAATCAGCTGGGTTCATCGCCGTGCAAATCCTGAGCCGCTGCTATTCGCAGTTCTGCCTCTCCTAAACTGTGGGTGTGTAAGTTGGCACTTGCACCAGGTCAGCCCCACTGCCGAGCTGAGTGCGCATCGCAGCGCTCACTGCGCGAGGCTCAGGCTGATAAGCACTGCTGGGCCTGGGCTGGACACCCGCGCAGGGGGAAATGGGTGAGGAGGCGGGGTAACAAATATCCAGGGGAGGATGAGCGATGCTGGCGGCTCGGTTTGGCTGCAAGCGTGCTTTCAGTGCCGGTGCTGCAGTGGCCGAAGTGGCAGCGGGGGGGGCTGAGGAGGGGGCAATGGCAGCAGGAGGCGGCACTGTGCCTGGTGGGGGGGTGGCAGCTGAACAGCTGCAGCCTGGCGTGCAGAAAGTCGGACACAAGGAGATGCTCTTCTCCCCGAGAGCAGCCCTGCAGAGAAGGACGGGGGCTCCTGGAGGACGAGAAGCTGGATGTGAGCCGGCAGCGTGCGCTGCAGCCCGGAGGCCAGCTGTGTTCTGTGCTGCATTAAAAAAGGGGTGGCCAGCGGGACAGGGAGGAGATTGCCAGGTGATGCCCGCCTCCACTCGGCTCTTGTGGGGCCCCATCTGCAGGGCTCCTTGAGGTCCCTTCCAACCCGGGCCGTCCTGTGATTCTGTTGTGGATGCCCCATCCCTGCAGGCATCCAGGGCCAGGCTGGATGTGGCTCTGGGCAGCCTGGGCTGCTGGCTGGCGACCTGCACACAGCAGGGGGTTGGAACCAGGTGAGAATTGTGGTCCCCAGGCCATTCTGTGATCCATGGTGATTCTATGATTTTGGCACCCTACGGATCCCTATGGCACCCTGGGGACCATTATGGCACCCTGTGGGTTCTCTGTGCAGCCTGGGCTGCTGGCTGGTGACCTGCACACAGCAGGGGTTGGAACTGATGAGTGCTGTGCTCCTGTGCAGCCCAGGCCGTTCTATGAGGGAAATTGCCTGCTTTCTCAAAGTGCCTACATTGGTCAGCACCAAGATTCGCTGGGCTCCTGCATCTCTGGTGGCAACAAGAAGTGCCCGAGGAGGCAGCTGTGAGCAGGAGGGACAGGCAGCGCTCTGTCAGAACCCTTTCCCACTGTCTAACGAGGTGTGGCTGGAGGGGAAGGGCAGGAAACGAAGGAGGGCTGAGCGGGGCTGTGTCTGTTTGCAATGGAGGAAGCCGCTGGAGTCACCTCAGGCTTCCTGGTTGTCAACACGAACCAGCAAGAAGTGAACCACAGAAGAAGGGCATTTCTGAAAAAGCAAAATCCTATTCGCGTTTTCCTGTAAGTCGCTGGCTTAAGGCAAACGCAGAGCTGGAGGGATTCCTGCGGGATTGGATACAGAGATGACAGCCGGGGTGGGACAGCAGCCCGGGAGGGTTTGGAAGGAGGCTGATGAGACAAACAAGGACAGACATCTGCACCCAGTTGTGCTGCCGCAGCAAAAACAGCCAGCAGGAGGGCGTTGGCTGCGCACATACGTGTTGGAAGCTGTCATTTCTCCGCGTGCGCTTTGAGGAGCGTCGGCTCGGGCTGGGAAAGCCACGGGCTGGGAAAGCCACGGGCTGCGGCTCTGCGGGCTGGGCTCAGGGTGCGGTGCGCCGCGGGGCGGGCGGGGAGCAGCTCTGTCGGCGCGGGCGGGGACGCGAGCGGCCCGTCAGCACCGCGCTGCTCAGCGCACGGCATCACCGGCGGCAGCGGGGGGAGCGGCGCTGAGCGCGGCGGTCGGAGCCGGCTGGAAGGCAAATGGGATCCTGGGCTCCATCAGCAGAGGGGCGGCAGCAGGGACAGGGAGGTGCCCCTCTGCTCTGCTCTCGTGAGGCCCCGTCTGCAGCGCTGCGTCCAAATGTGGAGCCCACAGGACAAAAAGACAGGGAGCTGTTGGAGAGGGGCCAGGGGAGCACAGAGATGAGCAGGGGACTGGAGCACCTCCCCTACGAGGACAGGCTGAGGGAGCTGGGCTCGTTCAGCATGGAGAAGAGAAGCTGCGGGGTGAATCAGTGCAGCCTTCAGCACCTGAAGGGAGCCTACAGACAGCAGGGGAGTCAGCTCTTGGGAAGGGCGGATAACTGCAGGACGAGGGGAAATGGCTGGGATTGAGGGAGGGAGATTTCAGTTGGATGTGAGGGGGAAGTTGTTTGCTGTGAGAGCGGTGAGGTGCTGGAACAGCTGCCCAGAGAGGCTGTGGGTGCCCCGTCCATCCCTGGAGGTGTTCAAGGCCAGGCTGGATGGGGCCCTGGGCAGCCTGGTCCAACATTAGGTGGGATGGTTGGTGGCCCTGCACGTGGCAGGGCGTTGGAGATTCATCATCCTTGAGGTCCCTTCCAGCCCTGGCCGTTCTGTGATGCTGTGGTTCTGGGCCGCAGCACAGAGCTGCAGGGCTGAGGTGGGGCTGGGCAGGAAGGGAGGCGGTTCCCCACGTCACCTTTACCTGTGAAAACGGAGCCAGAGGGCTGCAGCAAAACCTGAACTGGATCACGGCAAACTCCGGTCCTGCAGCCGAGTGACCGGGCTGGAAAATCTGCACCGTCACCCTGCTGGGCTCACGGGGTGAGAAGTGGGGAGGGAGGTGCTGCGTCCACTTGCAGGCAGCTCCTTGGAAGGCGGCGCCGAGGATGCACCATCAGACCCTGCGTGCCGAGCAGCTGCCGTCTGCTGAGCCTGCCATCCTGTGCCCGCCTGCTAGGGCTCTGCATTCAGCTCCTCGAGTCCTTCGGGTGCTGCTGGTACCTTCAAAAGCAGGCGCACAAATCTGAGAACTGTGGGGAAAAAACAAAAACACAACAGAAGTTACGGATCCGCCGCTATAAACCTCAATGCGCCAGAGCTGCAGTGACAGAAGGACAGCCCTGAGGGTGGGTACCGTGCATTCGGAGCAGCAGACCACTGTGCTGTCCCCAAGGAGAGGCAGCAACGCCGTACAAATGAGCTCTTTTCCCTCCAGAAGTCTTCAGATACCCAGAATGGAAGCGTGAGGAAATCCCGAATTCCCACTGTCAGGCTGCTTCCCCAGTCCCCTCCTTGCAAAGCAATCCCACAGCAGCACGGCTGTTTGGGAGCAGATGCCACAAACCCTAAGTAGGACTTTTCTTAAACATTCTGCAGCTCTTGGGAAAAAAACAACGGGATTCTGGAGAGCGAAAGCAGTAGTAGGGCAGTTCTTGGGAGCCACCTGGAAGGCACTGGGTAAGATGGGGTCCTATTGCACGGGCAATTCAGCTGCTGGTGTGTGAGAAATGGAACAACTGCCTGCACCTCGTGGTCGTGCGGAATGGAAAACAGGCTGATACAGACTGAGAGTTATCACAGAATCCTACACGGCCTGCATGGGCTGCACAGGAGCACAGCGCTCATCAGTTCCAACCCCTGCTGTGTGCAGGTCGCCAGCCAGCAGCCCA